TGACATAGTTCTGAAAAGGTGCAAGCACAAGAATGGACAGATGTACGACAAAGGATTTTTTTTAAATGCACTGCTGAATTTAAACACAACATAGAACGAGACCAGGAGAAAGAGAGACCAATAAGAGAGGGAGAGTGAGAGATAGTTTCAGAGAGAAGTTGAGGAGACGTACATTATTGCCGAACGTTCAGGAGGGCCGAAAGAGAGAGAAAGAGAAGGGGGAGAGTAGGGAGGAAGGAGAACGGAGGACGGAGGACACAGAACTGAGGAGGGTGGGAGAAGAGAGGGGAGGAGGAGGGGAGAAGGGAGGGGAGAAGGGAGGGGAGAAGGGAGGGGAGAAAGGAGGGGAGAAGACAGGGAAAAGGGAGGGAGGACGGAACAAGAGGGGAGAAGGGAGGGAGAGGAAGAGAGATTCCAAATAATCTATGGCCTTTCGAAGGGAAAAGAGAAATCCAGATAGAGACAAAAAGAGCGAGAAGTCACGAGGCAGACAGAAAATGAGAGAGAAGAAAAAGAAACAGGGATCAACGATAGATCAACGATAGATTGTGGAAGCTGGGATACGTGATCAACGATAGATCAAGTAAAGGTCAACGCTTTCGCAGTGGAAGCGCAAACATGAAGACAGATCTACGAGACTCTCTCTCTCTCTCTCTCTCTCTCTCTCTCTCTAGTCAAACAGCTTCCCGGTAAACCGTAGGCAGAGAGGGAGAATCTCTCTCTCTCTCTCTCTCTCTCTCCCTCTCTCTCTCTCTCTCTCTCTCTCTCTCTAGTCAAACAGAGCTTCCCGGTAAACCGTAGGCAGAGAGGGAGAATCTCTCTCTCTCTCTCTCTCTCTCTCTCTCTCTCTCTCTCTCTCTNTCTCTCTCTCTCTCTCTCTCTCTCTCTCTCTCTCTCTAGTCAAACAGAGCTTACCGGTAAACCGTAGGCAGAGAGGGAGGGAGAAGAGGACAACAAACGAGGGGCTGTGACAAACTGTTTCGTCGGAGTTTCACCTCCCTACTCATCAGGAGGCCGAACCTATCTTTGTGTGTGTACTTGTGTGTCTTCGGAAGACGACGAGGACGCCGACGAGGACGGAGAGGAAAAGCGCGAGTAAAGGGGCTGACAGGCAAGGTGATACCGTGCCCATGTGGCTGAATGGTGCACACATGTAACTTGGTAGATTCAGATGGACATACAAGAAGGTTGGGATACAAGAAGGTTGGGCGCCACCCCCTTAAGGAACAAAAAGTAGGAAAAACACAGGCAACGTGATGAAGGGGGGAATTGAGACGAAGGCTGATAGGATGATAGGAGGAGGGACGAAGGCAGTTGCGAGCCCGTCAGGAACGCAGAGGACATCCCCACGCGGAACAAAAGGGGAAAGAGAGCAGAAGAAGGCACTTAAAGACTGTCTATTACCCGCAAGACATCGGTGGCACATGGGACAGCGAGAGAGCGGGACCGCACGAGGACTGAGGTTAGACTAAGACAAGGGGAAGAGAGGAAAGACAGGAGGAAGGAGAGAGAGGGAGGAGAGAAAACAACAAGGAGACAAGAGAGCGAGGGAAGATGGAGAGAGGAAGCGAAGGGGCAAGAAGGAAGGGGGGAGGAAGAGGGGGGCGGGGGGGGGGGGGGGGGAGGAAGGAGGGGGGGAGGAGGGAGCAGAAAGACCGAGCATCATCCTTTTCCACACAGGCAGGTAATCGATGTCCTGACCGCTGCCTCGAGTGTCAGGTAGTCGATGTCCTGCAATCGCGGCAGATGCAGGAGGCAGCGGTGAGTGAGGGGAACAAATCCTTCTCCGCCAGAATGACCAGCTGCCTCAAGCGGCCCCCCCTGCCTTTGGTGAGGAGTCGCAGACAAGGGACGCAGCGGACGGAGGAGAGACCAGCAGGGGAGGAGGAGGAGGGGGGGGGGAGGGGGAGGAAGAGCGGCAGGGAGTGGATAACAGGAAGAAGGCAGCAGAGAGCACAGAAAGCCGACAGATTAGAAGAGGGTAAAGGAACATGAGAAAGACCAGCAATGTGGGAAGCGAAGGGAGAAGAAGCCAGGAGGATGAAGGAGCACACACAGAGAGAGAGAGAGAGAGAGACACACAGAGAGAGACAGAGAGACAGAGAGACAGAGAGAGGGAAGGGTATATAGAGGGCGACCTCCTCATTCTGATCCTCACCCTTATCTTCCTTATCGTCCTCTTTATCCCCCCCAACCCTCATCGTCATCTTTATCATTATCCTTCATCCTTATATTCCTCATTGCCATCTTTATCTTTCAGTTACCAGCACATCCTGCGCCTGCGCCCGTAGGGGGATTACAGGAACGAGTGCGGGGGGCCCAGCTGAGTGATAAATGATGGGAACTGGAGTGATAATACTAAATGGTGATTGGAGGGATAACAAATGGTGACGAGTATTCCTCATCCTCAAGCCTTATCCTCAATCCTTTTCGTCATGCTTATCCCCATGCTTATCCTCATGCTTATCCGCATCCTTTATCCTCATAAGCATGTGGATAAGCATGAGGAAAATCACGATGCATCAGGCCGGTAAGGGCAGGGATGATAATGCACTAAGTACTATGCCGAGTCCACAGCGAATCCTGACGATCAATCAAATCACGATGATGACTACGACGACGGAACATCATGAGATCGCACTTCCGCAAGTGGCCAATTTCGCGACCAAGTCTTTAATACATGGTCGATGGTGTAATCAGCAGCGTAAAGGACAACGACACAAACAAGGTGATCGATCTCGTCAGTCAAAGATGGTGAAGGTAATAAGAAAAATAATGATGATGATGATGATAGTGATGATAATGATGATGACCACGATGGCAAGGACGATAATGATGTGGCAAAGATGTAGAGCTAATACTAGTACTACAGTAATAAGGATTTTGAGGAAGAGAAAAAGACATGAGGAGGGGGATCCTGATGATGACGACGATCAGTGCGATCGTGAGGGCGGATGTCGGCAAGTATAACAAGCATAGGGATACTGCCGATAATGATAAGCCGAACGATGAAGAGGATTGAACGGCGTTAATGATGATGACGAGGATGATGACTGATCAGGATTACAAGAGTAGAATGATGGATAAAGAGAGGATAAACACTACGATAAGGATGAGGATAAAGAAGAGGTCACACAGCGGGATAAAGAGGAGGATAAAAGGGAAGAATAAAGAGGATTAAAAAAGAGGATAAAGAGGAGGAGAACGATCAGCATATAGAGGGATAACGATAGGGATGCAGCTGATTATGAGCACGATTGCGAGGATGATGACGTGGACGATAAAGAGGACGATGAGGAGGGTAATGATAAGGATGATGATCATCAGGCGTACTGATCAGGATGATGATTGGAATGGTCACGAACACGATGAGTGGATAAAGATGACGATGATGATGACCAAGATAAGGACGAGGATAAAGAAACGAGACGATAAAGATGATGATGATGATGACGATGAGCAAGATAAGGGCGAGAATAAGGAGGAGAATGATAGTCAGAACATAGATAAGAAGAGATGAAGAAAAGGATGATGATCTGCTTTGATGCGCGGTACACGAACGAACGATTGGACTAGGTTCAGGACGAGGATGAGATTCGGATAAACGAGAAGATAAGAGGGGAGGATGGATAACGATGATGATGGTGATGAGGAGGACGCGAATAAAGAGGGGACAATGGTCAGGATATAACAACATGGGGAGATAAGGAATAAGGATGACGACGATGGCTTGTTCGACGGACCGGTACAGCTGCTACAAGGTCAGGGGACCGACTGAATATCGTGAACACTTACAACCCAGCAAAATAAAGAGATCAAATCTCCAAATGTTATTACTGTACTATGTCAACCAAAAAAAATCGACCTGCAGCCAACTAACTCTGGTCAATGGGTGGGACAAGCAGCGATATGCACATTCGATGCACATCCGATGAGCATCTTGAACACCGCTGCAGCTGTGCGAACGAGTGTCATAATCGGGCGTTGACGTCAACGCAAAAACCTAACCAGCACCCAACTCCGGTAAACGGGCGTACAATTCGATGAAGATTCGATGAACCGTGCTTGAGCTTTCTCGTTGCCACACTCTAGGGGAAGGAGGCGCGGAGGGAGGGAGGGAGGGAGGGAGGGAGGGAGGGAGGGAGGGGTTTGCGGAACCTGCAGATAGGCAAGGAGGAAAGTTGGCGGGTCAGATGAGCCTCCAGCTGGGAAAGGTAGGATTAGCTTATCTCCAAGTCATTTTTTTTGTTTGTTTGGGCTTTTCTTTTTGATCACTAAATTTTTTCTACTACCGGGTAGTACAGTTTTTTTTTTTTTTTAATCTCTCTTCTCTGATTTTCCTTACCACGTTCAACATGTAGAATATATTGTCACACTGAAAATCGGAGCGGAAAAAGACAAAACAAGAAAAAGAAAAAGAAGGAAAGCCCCACCTGTTCGTCACCTCTTACGCACAAGGCCAGCCATGTAGAATATATCTGTACACATGTGTACCTACTTACTACGTAATTGGACAAGAAGGAGAGGAGAGGCCTGATCGGATGAAGAAGATTCAAATCGGTGCGCTTTGAGGGGGGGGAGGCGGGTGTGGCTCTGAAGGACCCGAATTTTCCAGCTTCGATTGCCAGCCTTGCCAGCCAAGTCAGGGGGGGTTCTTACTGGGGATCTCTGCTAACACGATTGCGATGCTACTAGTGTGAGTCAAAAAAAAAAAACACGCCAGCCAAGTCAGGCGGTTTTCTTACGCGGGATCTCTGCTAATACAGTAAGATTGCGAGGCTACTAGTGTGAGTCCAAAAAAAAAAACACGAACAAAAATCGACCACCCTCCCCCCCCCCCTCTCTCTCTCTCTCTCTCTCTCTCTCTCTCTCTCTCTCTCTCTCTCTCTCTCGTGCGCGCGCGAGTGCGGAGGTATCGGTAACCTCGTGCGATGTGCTATATATGTCCAAGGACCAGTCCAACGTATCCTGGACGAAGTCCAAAGAGTCAGAGTACCTACCTTTTCATCCGATGACAGGTTCCAATCTTGGCACTCTCGGCGCAGCTCCTCCATTGTGAATCGACCAAGACGCAACTACGGCCCGGAGCAGATACGGCGGCGCGCAGTAAGAGCAAGCAGGGAAATGGACGTCAGCGACACAACTTGCCACCTCTTCAGATAATCCAGTTTCGCTTCGCAATTCCTCACTCCTCTTTTCACTCCGTACGTGAGCTTCTCTTCCTCCTCTTCCTCCTCCTCCTCCTCCTCCTCCTCCTCCTCTTCTTCAACAGATGACGGCTATGGCGGCAGCAAGTGAACGACGATCGTCTCGTCGGTTCTTCTTTCTTCTTCCGCTTCTTTCTGACCACCAAAGCCCCGAGGTCATCACCGTAGCTCTAATCCGTGATGATCATCTCCATCGCACAATTGGCAGCGCGAGGGCCGTCCATATATCAGACTCCAATCATTAATTAATTAATTAATTAATTAATTAATTAATTATGGCGACAATCAGCCAGGAATCCCGCGCCGACCTCCTTCGATACCAAAACGACGCAACCCTGTCTGCCCTCCACGTGTAACCACCACCTTCCTCCCTGTCTCACCCCACCATGCATCCCTACCTGCGATAACACCTCCATCTTCTTCTTGATTCCCACCTTCTCTCCACGCGACCGCATTCCGTCATCGTTATCTGGTAATCAGCCAACCAATCAATGCATTGTTCATTACATCAATCAAGCACTCAAGCAATCAAAACTCCCGTTTCCTCTTCCCTTTATACCGATAGTATCGTATATCATATATTTCCAAATATAAAAAAAAACGAGAACATAGTGCATTTTTTCTTATTCTTTTTTTTTTTTTTTTTTTTTTTTTCTTTTTTTCCCCTTTTTTTTTTTTTTTTTCCCCTTTTTTTTTTTTTTTTTCTCTGCAGCGCACGTTTTGTGGCCACTTTTGATCGCACGGTTGAGAATGCCCCCGGTACGATTACCTTCTTCCCCCGAATACAACGTACCGGTCATTATAGCTGTATTTGAGGCATCTTTCAGTCTAGATACAGCTATAGTGACCGTACGTTAAATTCGGGGGAAGAAGGTACCTCCAACTGAAAGTCAACAACAGGGATGATAGTCTCGAGTACCATCCTGTTTTCTTTTTCTCTGCAGCGCACGTTTTGTCTCTGTGAGCTATACCCTTTTTTTCCCATATTTCGAGAAGCGTAAAGGATGAAAAGACATGTTAGAAGACGATACGAGAGAAGATAAGAAGAGGAGACAACGGAGAGAGACGCGAAGAGGAAGAGGAGAGAGGAGAGAGGAAAGCAAAAGACGGAGGAAATGAAGGGTAGAAGTGAAGGAAAGAAAGAGGACGAGGAGGAGAGAGGTGAAAAGGAGTGGGGTGGGAAGAAACCTTTAGAAGACGATATATAGAAAAGGAGAAAGAAGACAAGCAATGGCCGATTGCTCTTCACACGCAATTACTGATATTGCAAAAAGGTTCCCAGCGTGTAATCATGCTCGGAAAAAAAAAGAAAAAAAAATATGCTCGAAAAACCGCGCACGCGTTCCTCTACATGCTTCAACCTGCTGCGCTCCGGTCTCATCAGGAGGCTGTCCACTATCCCAGCACCTTGCCGCCCACCAGTACTCTGCCACCCACGAGCGTATGAGGGCCGATAGGAGAAGAGAAGAGAAGAGACAAAAAAGAGGGAAGCAAAAAAGGAAGAGCCGAGGGAATGAACGGACGAAGAGGGAAAGGAAGGAGATAAGCAAAAAACGAGAGAAGAGAAGAGGAGGAGGAGGAGGAGGAGGAAAGGAGGAAAGAAGAGAGAAGGAGAGAACAACGAGGAGGGAGGGGAGGAGAAGGAAAGGAGGGAGGGAGGAGACGAGGAAAGGAGGGCAGGAGGAGAGGAGGAGGAGGTGGGGGGGGGGGGGGGAGAGAAGGAAAGGAGGAGGAAAGGAGAAGAAGACAGGAGAGGAGGAGGAGGATAAGACGTTCCTGGATGGATGGATCTGACCGCAATTACAGCTGGAATTGGACGTATCAGACTTTGCAATCACGTCCAGAACTAATGCTCTCATCCTTTCATGCAGCCTCAGGGCCTCGTTCCACACCACTTCAAGAGCGAAGCGAAAAATCATCGTTCCACCCCCCCCTTTCGAGCGATCCGCTTTGTTTTCACTTTTTTGCGTCCCAATCATCGTTCCACCCCCCCCCCCCCTTTAGAGCGATCCGGCTTGTTTTCACTTTTATGCATCTCAAGGGTGCGTCCTTGAAACTCAAGGGCGACACAGCCAAAGTCACCTCCCGGAGGTACCTTGAGATCAAGTGCCAGCGGATACCGCCAGCACTCCAATTGGGGCCTTTTTTTTTGTGGTCCAGGATTGGTCAGCAAGCAAGCCGTGGAGTTCGGTTTCAAGTGCAGCGATCCTGTTCAAGGGTTTCCTCAAGTGTACATGGAACCATAAATCGAGTTCCTATGTGTAAATTTTAATCACAATTTCTCTTCTAGTGTGCACTTGAAACTTTTCAAGTGGTGTCGAACAAGGCTCTCAGCTCATCATGCTCCACCGAGTTCAGATCAATCAATCAATCAATCAGTCAATCAACCAACCAACCAACCAACCAACCAACCAACCAACCGACCACCCGACCAACCGACCAACCAATCAATCAACCAACCAATCAATCAATCAATCAATCAACCAACCAATCAATCAATCAATCAATCAGTCAATGACATCGATCGATCACTCAATCAGTCAATCAGTCGATCAGTCGATCAGTCGATCAATCAATCAATCAATCAAATCAATCAATCAATCAACAGAACTCGATCGAGACCTATGAATTAATTAAACCAATCAATCGATCAATCAATCAGTCAATACATGGCATCGTTCATGTACATAACAGAGATGACAACGACCGTACAGCTGAGAACGTGATACGACCAAAACAAGACCGGATGGGACCCCGAGCCGAACCGTGACCACTGTCCAACGGATTGCAGATCGACCTTTACACGTGAGCATCGTCAATCTCGAAAACAGGTAGACAAAAAACAATCGGTTTTTATTTTGTGAGTCGATAAGAACATCAAAAGGAAATCATCTTCTTCCATCCACTGCCAGGATGACTCCGGGTTCGATTCTTTGTTTGTGGTTTTTTTTTTTTTCAGCCCAGTTAGGGCCCAGTGACCAAGGCAGAAATACAATCACAAATGAGTTGCAGATTCAAGGGCCACGAAGATAACTCCGCGCCTGTGAAAAGGAACCATAAAAGTAAAGAATAGAAAAACCAAAAAATAATTAAAAATTTCCAAAATAAAATCATAACAGCTCGCCTATTTGCTAAAAAGTCTAAAGCAGAAATTCGGGCCTACTCACACAGTGGTGGCATCGCAGCAAAATCTGCGAAATTTGCAATCCTTCTTTTGGAATAATGCTGCCCCGCCAGAGGTCACACAGGGGGAGCAAATCGAATACGAGAGGGACGGGACTTACTGCCAATTGCCAAAATGGGGCCTCGCGAGCTCACACAGGGCGAGGCCCAAATCCATACGCCTTTTTTTTTTTTAGCTCCAAGATGATTCGTTTCGATTTATTTTTTCTCTCGTTTTTTTTTTCTTTTTTTCCTGCTACGTTCTTCTCTCAATTTCACCTCACACTTCCTACCTACTACTACTACTAATTATAGTCATACGGGGAGGCCCCTAGCAGCCAGAAATGGGTTGGCTGTCGCCCAGCTATCGATGCCGAGCCTGGAATGCCCCTGCGCGCCAATTTTCGCCGAGCAGCCAGAAATGGGTTGGCTCTCGATTAGAACACCCCCTACCCTAACGCATTTGCGTGGGTTGGCTGTGGCCTTTTTTCTTCTCAGGGCATACTCAGACTGCGACCCCAAATATGCGGATTTGGGAAGGGCCAATTTGAGGTTTTGGGTATGGTTCGGGTCGCACTGCTGTACCTTTTGGGATGGGACAAGGCGATGGCCGGCAGCAGAAACGGCGATTTGGTATTTCTCTAGTCATAACGGCGCCATCCACCAATTGTGCAAGAACATTGTGAACGAATTTTCACCAAATCTCGAAGACAATGCTAAAGAATGAATAGGGCTTTTTTTTGGTATACCGAAAGGCATTCCATGATGCAGACCCCAAATTCGAATTTCAGGGTGAAGGTCTCAGCCCAAGGGAAGCCAAGTCGGCCAGTGCAGAAAGGTCACAGTAGGGTACCTTAGGAGTCGAGTCCAACAGGCACCCGGTGAACAGTCACATCCCAGAGGCAAAGGTTGCGTTCTATAAGCAAAGGTGACGTCTCATATTTATGAGTCGTATTGAAAAGTCATATCCCACAGGCAAAGGACACTTCCCCAGGCAAAAGTCGTGTCCCAGAGGCAAGAGTCACATCCCACAGTCAAAAGTCATGTTCCACAGGTGAAAAGCCGTGACTCACAGGCCCAAGCAGCAGCACACCAATGAAAATTCGGGAAAGTACCAGGCCTTGACATTCTGAAGCAAACAGGCCGTAGGCATCTGGTACCAGTACCAAGTCAAACCAGAAGAAGCAGAGGCTGGGACGAGCTGAAGCTCAGTCCAAGTCAATATAAGGACTGGCCAGCCACATTTCAGGGAGATCACTCACTCGTGAGAGGTGTGGCAGTGCTACTGAAGCGCAGATAGTAGCATGCGCGCGAGAGCCCTGCTGGGCAGCACTGCACTGAGAGGGAAGGCAGCCATAGCCGCATAGCTAGTGATGGGAGGTAGAGCTCAGTAGCAGTGGATGTATTTAGAGTCAAGATTCTCAAGATTGAGAAACGGAGAGAGCCCATGCATGAGGAACACCAGAAGGGACACACACACACACACACACACACACACACACACACACACACACACACACACACACACACAGAGAGAGAGAGAGAGAGAGAGAGAGAGAGAGAGAGAGAGAGAGAGAGAGAGAGAGAGAGAGAGAGAGAGAGAGAGAGAGGTGGAGAGAAGAGAGTCAGCTACCTTTGATGAGGATGTTCGTATTGGGTTGCTGTATTCTGCACTGTTGACTGCTTGGGTGACTGGATCTCCGAAACTGTTTAATGAGATACTTTGTGGGAATTTCTAAGTTGCGCATATCTGGACTTTACATCTCTGGACTCCAGTATGGATTACATGTGATCTCTCAATAACTGTGTGTGCCCTCATGGTGTCGAGCAGTGAGGTTCAATGCAATTGGCATCGGAGCTGGTAACTCGCTGCATCTGCTGGTGATGAACGTTGGCATGATTAAGGCCGGCGAGTGGAGGTTGGGAGTTTGAGATAGGGGTTGTAGGCCGAAGAAGAAGTGGCCAGGTTGGGGGATGGTGATTACGTACCTGCATGCATGGAGCGT